CATATGATGCTGAAAGACATTATTATTATTATTATTATTATTATTATTATTATTATTATTATTATTATTATTATTATTATTATTATTATTATTATGGCCATGGTTTTCTCTCTGAATATCCGTTTATTTTAATGCAGCGTGTATTTGTGAACAAGTGTTCCTCAGCAGAAGCATAGTTTTGAACGTTTTTGGGACTTCTGCTTCGTTCTTTTGGTTCTAGCATCTTCTGCTTTTGGTCTATATTGCACTTGACATTTTTGTAATGGTTTTGGGACTGAGAGAGCACACCTCAGCCATTGAGAACCGTTGACCTCCATGGCTGTGACAACATCTCTTGCAGGTTCTCAACTTTGGTGTCACAGTTTGAGGGGCAAACACTATGGTCTTACACTGAGTTGGGAAAAGCAGCTGAAGATGGCACATATATGTGGTGGGATGTGTGTTGGCCAAGCCATGAGGATTTGGGGGAATAAAAATCCAAAGGCAGTGAAGATAGTGATGCATGTGGTTGATCATCATCCAATGGATGGTGATGTCTCCCATGGACTGCATAAAGATTTGGGCTCCCTTCCAAGTGGGTGTTAGCTTTTCTACAATTCACTTTCTTCAAGATAGTTAATTGTATTATTGTAGTAGGAGTAGTACTTAAGGAACCTTATTATAAGTTTGTGAGCATTGAATATCACTATCCATGTTGGATTTAGTATATTTCCTTTGCTGTTTGCTTACTTTATATTGCTGAATGAACAAGTTCTTGTTTTTTGAGGGTTTGATTTCAAGTGGTTAATTTGACTTACACACTTGTGAGGCCGTGGTTAGGTAGATGTTAGTTCTTGGACTTGATATAAATTGACTTATGCTATTCTGTTATTGGTCATTCATTGCAAGGAGTGTACTGGGCTAGGGTGAGAAAATATAAGCATTGACACTTTTGCCCGGAGTGTAGTGTACATAAGCTTTGATTCGGAGTAATTTAGTTTTATGCAAGTGAACTTGGGATTTCAAATTTGGAACTTCGTTAACATTGTTTAGCTGAAGAGTGGATAAAGAAATAAAAAATCCTTTTGTTGCTTTTAGCATTTGTTGTTAAAACCAAAGTAAGCTTATGAAATGCAGGCAGAAAGGATGTGATTACAGGGTGAAGGGACAGGCCACAGTCGATCAGTACTCAGTAGTATCGATGAAAGATTTGGAATTTTGGATAGTATTTTCTCCCCTAGAGAATTAAAAGATTATGAGGAGGGAACTTTTATTTTGTTCTATTTTTTTGCTAACTGGAGGAGGGAACTTGTTGATGGGATAATGTTATTATCAAATATAGATTAAGAATCCCTTCTGTTTATTAAAATTAGTTTTTGACACAACCATTTTTGTGCTTTGTGTTTGGCCTTCCATTAAACCAGTGTTATATTTCTCATTATTTTCATGTTTTTGAATGCTGGGAAACATTGTACAAAATATAATATGAATCTCGGAAAGAAAGTGATCAAGTCATTTAAAGAGCTAGAGAGTCATGATCAGAATAGTTGTAGATAGTTAGGGTCGTATTCTGTTTACTTTTCCATCTTATTGCATTATACTATATGCATTCCCAATTTGTATTTTGCTACGAGTTTCGCTGGAAGATCACAGAATTTTAAACTACAGTTTTTGTCCCTAATTGTAGAGCCATTATCCATATCTGATATTGTGGCTGCTTCTGACTCTGGTGCTAAAGTACGAATATCATATCAGGTATGATCATGATGTATGTGACAGTTGCCATTGGGTGATCTGATATCAATGGTTAATTATTTGCTTGGATTACTGAATTAGGGGATACCAGGATCATACAGTGAGGATGCTGCAGTCAAAGCTTACCCCAATTGTGAAACGGTTTCATGCAATGACTTTGAAGAAGCTTTTAAGGTTGGGTTTGACATAATCTGTCATTCTTGAAGCTAATCTTGGATAAACCAGTAATAGTCCTTATATTTTGAGCTTTACCACCAATAATTTTCATTTTCTGATTCAACGTACTATATGTTTTAAATTTTCCCATAGGCAAGAACTTTGGGATTCAATGTCTTTCTAATGAACTTCTCAAGTTATTTGTCTATCCTTACCTATTCTCCCCACTCACTTTCCTGTTCTTTTTATAAAAATTTATGTTTGACAGGCTGTTGAGTTATGGCTAGCTGATAAAGTTATCCTTCCAATAGAAAATACATCTGGTGGAAGCATTCATCGGAACTATGATTTACTTCTTCGCCATAGGCTTCACATTGTTGGTGAGGTGCAGTTGGCTACTAACCTCTCCCTTCTAGCTCTACCTGGTGTCAGAACAGAGCACCTAAAACGGGTTCTAAGTCATTCTCAGGTCAGGCTTCAAGTTGCTGACACTTTTTTAGATGTGGTAGCGTAGACTTGATATACTTTTATAGAAAATCTATTGTTCTGGTATCTAAATTAATCCTATGCAACATAAGAAAGAAATAGATTGCTTTATTCTTGTTTTGAAATTTATATACCATCGTTCCATTCATGAATGGAACTGGGTTTCAAAGTAAATTGAATTTTTAAGTTTCAAACTGGTTGAATTTGTTGTGCCCAAAGAGTGGGTATCCTCCAAAGTCCCACATTGGAGAGTCTTGAAGGGAGGAATGTTGTGCCCAAAGTGTATGGGTATCCTCCAAAGTCCCACATCATGTAGTTTGAAGAAGGGAGTGGTAGACTACTACTATAAATAAGAGGTGATAGTTAGTGTCTACTCACCACAACAACATAGGTTCCAATGGGTGTATTGGGGACTTGGGTAGTTGTGTGTCATGAGAGGGTTTTCAAGTTTTTCCAGAAAACTTGTGTATGAAGGTTTCCAAGTTTTTCCAGAAAACTTGTGAGTGAGAGGGTTTGCAATTTTGTCCTTGTAAAAATTGTAAGTAGAGAGAAATAAAATGAGTTTGTTTTTGTTTCTCTATTTTGTGTGTGTGCTTCCGCTGTGGCTGTTTGAAGGCTGCTTGATCGGGTGACTAGCTCGATGAGGTCATATGGAGGAGGGTTTCCAAGTTTAGCCAGAAAACTTGTGGGAAGGGGTTTTCAAGTTTTACCCATAAAACTTGTGAAGAGAAAGAGGGTTTCCAAGTTTAGCCAGAAAACTTGTGGGAAGGGGTTTTCAAGTTTTACCCATAAAACTTATGAAGAGAAAGTGGGTTTCCAAGTTTCGCCAGAAAAACTTGTGAAGGAGGGGTTTTCAAGTTTCGCCAGAAAAACTTGTGAAGGAGGGTTTCCAAGCTTTGCCAGAAAACTTGTGAATGATGATGGGTTAATGTGAGACTTTGGATGAAGGGAGGATTGTTGTGCCCAAAGAGTGGGTATCCTCCAAAGTCCCACATTGGAGAGTCTTGAAGGGAGGAATGTTGTGCCCAAAGTGTATGGGTATCCTCCAAAGTCCCACATCATGTAGTTTGAAGAAGGGAGTGGTAGACTACTACTATAAATAAGAGGTGATAGTTAGTGTCTACTCACCACAACAACATAGGTTCCAATGGGTGTATTGGGGACTTTGGTAGTTGTGTGTCATGAGAGGGTTTTCAAGTTTTTTCCAGAAAACTTGTGTATGAAGGTTTCCAAGTTTTTCCAGAAAACTTGTGAGTGAGAGGGTTTGCAATTTTGTCCTTGTAAAAATTGTAAGTAGAGAGAAATAAAATGAGTTTGTTTTTGTTTCTCTATTTTGTGTGTGTGCTTCCGCTGTGGCTGTTTGAAGGCTGCTTCTTTTCCCAACAGAATTGTTGTCTTGAAAGTTGACTGAGTAATAGTTGATCTACCCATTAGTTAAACAACAAGGGCATATAACAAATATTTCTCATTGCCTACTTTGTTTGACATTGACTAATTTGGAGCAAGTAGACAATCTAGCTTAATTTGGATTTTATTTGATTAAGCATGGACACCTTCTCCATATATAATTGAATCTATGAGTAGTATTCTATAAATAATAAAACGAGCGTTCTAGAATAACTTAACTGTACTAGCACATTAGAGCTAGAAAATAATTGGAAGGTTTTGGTTGCAGGCACTCGAATTGAGTGATAGTTTCCTGAATAAATTAGGTGTTGCGAGAGAAAATGTTGATGACACAGCTGGTGCTGCTCAGGTAATCTATTTATATATCTTATGTGACTTCAGATTTTCTCTAATGTATAAGTAGAGAATAATTTTGTTTTCTGTTTTTCTAAATGTGCATGTGAGATTAGATTATAGCTTCAAAAGGTCTGTATGATGCGGGTGCAATTGCAAGCATTCGAGCAGCAGAAATCTATGGGCTTGATGTACTTGCAGAACGAATCCAAGTAAAAACCCTTACCATTCATCATTGCAAAAAATCATCAGTTAACTTGTTGCCCATTACCCTTGATTTGATTGTCAACAAAGTATGCATTTGAGAGGTTAGTTTGTGCATGTTATATTAGTTTGAAGGCAAGAAACTAGGCAATGGTACCAGAGATTTGCAGATAAATATTTTAAGCTTTGGTACAATTCTTTGATATAAGTGATAATTATAAAGTAGTGGTGATCTTGTTTAAGAGTATAAATATACTAAATATGAGATTTTGTTTGGTGCTCCCAGAGCATGAAAGTCTCTTGCTTTGTACCATTGAGAGTGTACAACCTCAATTATAACTTAAACATTAGTTAAAGTTCGCGACAGTGATGGCCAGTACAGCTGAGTATACATTCCATACGACAGCTGCAGATTTCTCGTAAAATATTTGGGAAACTATTATGAAATAATCTAGTGTCATTGACCCTAAAACTCAGAGTGATCAATTACATAAACTCTTTCTTCTAGTGTAAATAGTTGTTGACTAGCGGCACTGTGTTCTTCAACCTATTGGCTTTCTAGATTATCTTATCTCCATCTCTACCTTTCCTCCTGATAATCCAGATCTTTTATTTTGTCTAATTTTTCAAAGAACAATTCCCCTAAAAGTTTAAGCTGTTAGGAAGAACCCCAAGAATGGTTTATATTCCTACATGTTATTTCTTCCAAATTCCAATGACAAGGATATGTCAGATAGAAATAAGTCAGGATAAAATACTATGAATATCGATGTGCATAAAAAAAATTCATTAGACTTGTTCTTGACATTCATTTGTACACAAGCTTCTGAAATAGAGGCCAAATATTATATGCCTCTATATTACTGTAAATAAGAAATGCTTGTGTTGGTGTCAATGTTCATTACAGGACGACTCTGAAATCATCAGTCGTTATCTCGTGCTTGCAAGGGATCCGATAATCCCCAAAGCTGATAAGCTCTTTAAGGTAAAAACTCCTCTTGATCAATGACTATTGTGTCATAATCATACTACATGACTCTCTTTAACTAATTGTTCATTATTTTCAGACAAGTATCGTGTTTACACTGGATGAAGGTCCTGGAGTACTGTTTAAGGCTTTGGCAGTGTTTGCATTGAGGGACATAAATTTAACCAAGGTTATCTGTGGAAAGAGGTTTTTTTTTTTTTTTTTCTAGGTCTATGCATGATGATTTCAAGAAAATTAACAATATGTATTTTGAAATCAGATTGAAAGCCGCCCACAAAGAAATCGGCCATTAAGAGTTGTCGATGACTCTAACACTGGAACTGCCAAGTGAGTTAGCCTTTTGCCTTTGTCTTTAACATCATATTGCTGCATGCAATGTCTGGTTCAAGCTAGTTTTGTCTTTAATTGTTGAAGTGTTCAAACATGTCTAATTTTCACTCTTCTCCCAAATTGTTTTGTATTTTGTTGTGGATGTGCTATTACTTTTTCGCCTCAACTCCTGTGCTAAATAATTTAGGGTAATCTGACTCTTGGATATCAGAAACACTGTTTTCTAATATGCTGATGCAAACATTCAAATAACATGTATTTTTTGATTTAGGTATTTCGATTACCTTTTCTATATTGATTTTGAGGCGTCTATGAGTGAGCCCCGAGCACAAACTGCTTTAGGACATCTGCAGGTTTGTTCTTTGACTTCTTATTTTATGATTTGAACTATGCCCTTGTGATTCTTCTGTTTGTTTTTATCTTCCTCTTGAAAGAACTAAAGGATAAATACTTAATTAATCTTGTTCAATTGTTTTAGGAATTAGGAGTCCAGCAAGGCTAGAGTCCTCCCGTATTATTAGATTAGCATGCTAACACATAATAACAAATTTACCAACAATTAAAATCAAGGAGAGCAAGCATGTTTTAGGACTTCTACTGTGCTCATAGAATTTTCTTTCTTAAGCTTTTAAGTCCTTGACTTGGATGCCTTGCCTGGGTATGTTATCATTATCACAACCCAATTTGACCCCTCTGCATCATCTTAACCACATCAGTTTTGGGCCATTGCTGCTGGCCTTTTAATTTTGGGCCAATTGGTCTGTGGTTTATGTTTTGATCTATCCGTGACAGTGGGTCGCCTTAAAGGGTGTCAAGATTCTGAGGTTGTCTTACATAATAACTAATCTAAAAATACATTAGAACAGTAAGGAACTTGCTCAAGGTTTAGCTTCAATAATTTATTAACCCTTCAACTTCCATATCATGAGTTATCTAACCACAAATCAAAACCATTTTATGTCTCTACAGGAAATTGCCCCATTTCTTCGGGTGCTGGGCTGCTATCCCATGGATACAACCATATAGATAGCTATATGGTCTTTTCAATGAATGCCATCATATTGAAAGCCTCAAACTAGGAAGAGGATTTGGTGCTACCTTCATGTCCAAGTAAAACAAGAGCTGTCACATGGTTGTAATTTATGATGATTGATAACAATAGCTGATCCTGACCTTAGACAGTGGCATTAGTTCATTTAAACTTCAATTCATCCAACCGAGTTAGACGGTCATTGAAGATGATCTTGATGAAGGTTAATGAGGTATACGAGGTTTTAGCCATATATGTAGTTTTTTTCTATTACATTGTCAAACCTAACAAAATAAGGAACAAGAGAAGGAAAAGAATCCGCTAATGCATTCTGTCACAGTGATGTCATATTAATCAATAAAAACATGTTTGGTTCGCATCTCATGTCTTGATTTGATTCTTAGCATGAGTTAACATCTTCCACCCACCAAGTTGGTGTGTTTTTGTTATATTCTGTTCATATGATGAAGATATCCATATTATAAATGACTTTTAGCCAAATGTGTAGCTTTCATTCCATTACAAGTCAAACCCAACAGAATAAACAAGAAAAAGCTGCTGATGCATTGTTGCACTGGGAACATAATTGGTTCGCATCTCATCTCATGTAATGTCAAGTCTTTAACTCTTATTGTAACATCTTTCATGCCACCAAGTTGGCACGTGTCTGCTATATTCGACTCACACAATAAAATTATTCTAATCCCGAAATTTGCAAAGACTAAACAGAGGGGTTGTGAGTTGTGACGTAAAAGTAAAACAAGTACAAAAACACTATTTGTTTCGTAGTGTGTTGTGTTCATGTGCACTGAATGAAAAAGATATTAAAAAGTCGTGACATGTCATCATTGCAGACTGCAGAGACCTGAGCAATGAATATCTTCAACAAATCTTTTCTTTGGGTTAATGGAAACTAAGAAAGGATTCCTGGAAGCTTAATCGTCTCATTGGTATGGTAACTTGATAGAGAGAAAGATACGGAAGAGAAAATTTTGAAAAACGTAAATTGAAGAAAAAGTAGAAAAATGAATTTTTTTTGGATATGATTGTTTTCTTTTTATAATTAAATAAAAGAATATGAAAAATAATTTATTAGATCAAACATTTTTTAAAATAAATAATTTTATATTAAAAAATAATGTCAAAAGATTTTTAAAAATAGCATCAATTTAATGTTTTAATTAGTATAATATTTTTGTATATAATTTATTTTTATTCTCGTTGGTGTTCATTTGAATATAAAGAGAGAAATTTCTCTATTTCTTTATTATTTTTTATAGCATAGAAACTACATTTTGTGTCTATGTATTTTTTTAATAAAATAAAATAAATAAATGATAAAAAAATAATTGAAGTTAAATATCTATGTGTGATTAATAATTGAAGTGTAAAAGGTTTTGTGGAATTATTTAGAATGTGCAAAAATGTTTTAAAAAATTACTGAAAAGTAGAGGAAAGAATAAAAACTAAATAAAAGAAATGAGAGACAAATAGTGCTTTAGAAGTAGGGACAAAATAGTTAACAAAATATGTATGCTAAAAATACGTGTCTTTATTAATAATTAAAAAAATTATAAAAAAAAGCTAAATAAAAAATTATGAGAGAAATAGTATTTTAGAAGTTAAATAATAAAATAGTCAACAAAATATGTACATTAAAAGGTATATCATATAAATATTGTCTTACTTATTCTAATCCTTTTTTTTCACTACTCTTCAAAGCCATTATAAAAGAAATAAGCGAAAAATAAGAAAGATACATATGAAAAATTGAAAAGAAAAAAAAAACCAAAAATAAAAATATTTAATTTAAAAAAAAAGAAATAAATAAATATAGAAAAATTAATAATTCAAATTAATTTTAATTAAAATTTTAATTTAATTGATTAAATGAAAAAGCTATTTTTTATCGATTGAATCAAAATTTCAATTGATTAAATAATTTCTCAACACTTTTCAAAATCGTGAAATAGTATAAAAACTCTTGAGAGTGTAAACAAAGAGGCAATAAAAAAGAACACACAACATTTTTATACTGGTTCGACTCAACCATCGAGACTATGTCCAATTCTTGATTAACTTGATTAAGTTTCACTATTTTTTATAGAGGAGGAATCCTTTTACTCTAGGAATAAGTCTACCTAAACTTACTCTGTTCAATAACTTATATTTTACATCAAATTTCAATGATCCAACCGTTTAATTTAAAGTTCTTAATGCATAGATCAAATCTACAAATTTTTAGAAAATTTAAAAATTATTTGATACTTCATTTCATTAATTCAAATTGACGGATAATCATAAAATTATTTTATACATTGATTCGAATTAATGAAACGAAATATCAAATGATTTTTAAATTTTCTAAAAATTTGCAGATTTGATCTATGCATTAAGAAATTTAAAGTGAACGGTTGGATCGTTGAAATTTGATGTATAACATGAGTTATTGAACGAAATAAGTGTAAGTAGACTTACTCCTAGAGTAAAAGAATCCCTCCTCTTTTTGAAAATTTTTATAAAGATACAAGTATTCTTTTGTGAGTCACTTATGATTCAACTTAAGTATTTTTTAACTTATCTTTTTAAGCAATTACCCAAGTATTCTTTGAATATCAAAGTCTCTCTAGTTTTCAACAAGCAAGTATTCTTTCACAACAAAGTCTCTTCAGACTTCAACAACCAATATTCTTCTACAACAAAATCTCTCTAGGCTTCAATAATCAAATATTCTTTCACACAAAGCCTCTTTAAGCTTCAACCATCGAGTATTCTTTCATAACAAAGTCTCTTTGGGCTCCAACTAATAAAGTCTCTTCATAACAAAGTCCTTTTAAGCTTAAAGCAATAACACAAAGTTTAATTTAGAGATTCACTAGTTATGTGATATAATCATATTAAGTACATAACTTTTTATAGAAAGAATGAATATGACTTTATAATAGTTGTTCTCTGATTCTTTTTTAGTCTTTAAGCTTTTTTATATAAGTGTTTCATGAAGATGATTGTTGTAAATCTAAGTATCCCTCACAAATTTATTTTATTTATAGAGTTATCATCCATACACTGCCAATGTAAAGTTTTTTACACTAATAACCAATTATATCTTTTAAATTATTTTATTTTATTTTTATTTCATTAAATAAGTAACTTACGTGACACCATTAAAAAATATGATTAGTTGTCAATGTAAAAAATTTTACACTAGTAGTGTATAGGTGATTAACTCTTATTTATATTCATCTTATTTTCTTGGAGAGAAAAGTGTCTGTTGATTTAAATTCGAGCATTAAATATATTTCACTAAATTATCACTTTTTATCTAATCAAGGAGACTACTTATTATCTTTATGGTATCAAAGGAAGGATCTATTGTGTATTAGTCATAAATGACTTTTTCTGAAACTTCACATGTGTCGAAGAAGTTTTTTTGTTTCTTTTAATTTATTGAGGAATAATATAAATGAATATGATTCTTTTATCAAATATTATAAATAATATATATTAAATGTATTTGTCGTATACATCAAATGGTTTATAAAAAATTACGTATTATCATAACCAATCATCTTATTTTAATTTATTTTATAATAAGATTTGGAAAAACTTTTTTCTAAAAAAATGTTTAAATTTATTATTATTAAAACTAATAACTTAGCCAATCAATATGGTCTTTTAATTCAACACATACATTTTCTGAATCCCGATAAAAAATAAAAAAATAAACCAAAAAAATATCTATTGGTGATTATTTTTATTTTGTTACATCTGTTTGTCACTATTCATTCTTTGCCCGTCACTCAATTCCATACCAAACGAAGGATTCGATCTCCTCCCTGGTTTTCATCTTCTTGTAACAAACGCACCATAAAAGAGAGATTCCTTCTCCGAAATTATAGCTTTTTCTATCTTAATATTCTTAGGGAAAAGTTTAACTTTTTGATATTATTTTATAAAATCCGACAAATTTGACATCAATAAACAACTTGATGAATTTGTATGACATCATTGTGGACTCTGTCGTGGAGATCTACGTGTTAAATCTGATTTGAACAAGTTGGAAGCTGCTGTAGCAGATGATGATGGGGAACAAAAATCACAAGTTCGAATAAAAGAACAGCAATTGCGATCATGGTGTCATCGGCTCTCTATAGTTTTCCTTTTTTATTCCTCAAATTACTGAAATTTATTTAAGGTGGTAATATTTTCTATCAAATACTCTTTTATCCACAAAAAGTCCAGTTATTTAACTCTTTGATTATTCTATGTTTGGTTGATAGGAAAGAAAATAAGAAAAAAAAATCCAATTAAAAGAAAAGTGGAAAATTTTTATTTTTATTTCTGTACCTGTCTGAGGGCACACTCCTGTTCTTCCTAGTGAAAGGGGACCGAATAAGAGCTCCAACGATGTCTTCAAAAGTGGGGGGAGGTACCTGCAAAAGGTACTCCGACGCTCAAGTTAGTATATGCACGAGTATCTAGGTTAAAAATGAACAGTGACATACCTTGTTACGTGAGACCTATTTATAGCATCTGACATGGGCCTGAGCGTGATGGGCCCTATCAGATGTTTACCAAATTAGGTAATACGGTACTAATTGGTCGTTTAGGCTTTAATCATGTACTTACCTTTCTTGACTGTGATTACTTGTTATGACTCGCCTAACCCTTCGGCAAGAGGCCGAGCCGTCTAATCAATACTAGTCGGAGCGGCAAATGACCGAACCGTCCAGTCCGTACACGGCAGCCTGTATACTTCCGGTATGTT